GCTAGAAATGGCAGCTGACACTGCTGCCCACCAGCAGGATTTCTCCCCTCTGGCAGGGACGCCTCAGCCCTACTCCTAGGCCTTTCAAAGTCACTGCCTGAGTGTGGCCTACCCAGATGATCCAGAACAATCTCCATCCATGAAGCCCACTGATCATGAATTCTAATCACACCTCGAAACACCTTCTCTGCAACACGGAGACTGGGGTTGATTGGAGAACTGAGGACTGCAGGCTTGCCAAATTGTACAGGAAACTGACCATCACTCCGTCCTCCTCTCTGATGATTTCTAGATCCTTCCAGCTTCAACACTGAGTCAGTCAGTCTCAGCCTCTCGCCCCTGCTGGGGATTTGGTGAGGTCAGCAGCCCTCCCTGGCTCCCGGCCCTGCTGGGCTTGCTCCTGGCCCCTGGCCCTCCAGGAATGAATTCCCACCTGGACCTCAGCCTTGGCCCAGCTCCTTCCCCAGCTGTGTACCCCCGGCTTGTGAAATCTCCATTAACTGGCCTGGGGAAGGCCCCCCCGCGAACCAGCCTGGGACTGAACAAATGAGCAGCCTGCCTTGCGGCCCTCAGGGAGCTGCGAGCGTCCTGGGGGAGCTGCAGGGCCCAGGACCAGGTTCCAGGTTGGCAGAGCAGGTCTGCCCAGAGTCTGTGTTGTCTTGGATTCCTGGCCGGGCTCCGGCTGGATCCCCTGGACAGGCCACAGCTCTGGGCTGCAGGAAACCGGCCCATGGTTGTTTGGTTTCGATTGCACAACCCTGGTGCAGGGGCCAGAGCAGACATCTGGTGTTTTGGCGGCCCAGCACCCACACCTCCCCTTCTGGCAAGAGCCCCCCAGTTGCCTCATGGGGAGCTCCCCCAAGTGTGCAGCCGGGGGTGGGGTGGGGGGAGGCTGTCAGTCCAGATGCCCCCATCCTTCCTTGCCAAGGGCTGGGCCTGCAGCCCTGGCTTGGTCAAGGACTGTCCTTCCCTGGGAACAGAGCACATTCCTCATCCTGATGATCAGTCCCTGAGGTGGACACTAGGACCCCTCGCTCTGCTTGCTTCTCTTCCCCTCCTCTCTGAGCTCCCCACTGCCTGATGATAAACCTCTTTGCAGCTCAGGACCAACACAGCCCATTTCCTCGCACAGAAATCTGACTAGGGGGACACTGAATGTCAATCCTGGCTCCGCCCAGACTCTCTGTGTGGCCCTGGCCTCGGTTTCTCCATCTGTACATGTGAGCCCATCTCCAACACCACACCCTACGGCCCCATGGCTGCTCTTGGATCAGACAACAGACGTGGCTGATGAGTCCACTGTTGAGGACCAGCTGGGGCCTTCTCTGCCCTGACCCTAGAGATTATGGGTGTGTTTGGTGGAGAGAGGAGCCCACAGCAGGACAATCTTATTTCCACCTCCTGCCATGGGCAGTAGGGTCCAAGGATCAACACACTGCCTTCCAAGGCCTCTGAAACCGCCCTCCTCTCTGTAAGCCATTGTGCTCAAACGTTGGCGATTCCATGAACACTCTGCAGGTCTCCCTACACCAGCCCCCGCCCCATCTCTCTGTCACACACACAAACATGCACACTTTACAATCTCCAAAGGAGCCTTGGGACCAGCCTTCAGATGCCTCTCCTGACCCTAATGTGACAGTCCCTGAGTGCATATAACAAATGAGCCTGCACACACAAGTTCAGTGGTGGGGCCACCCGGCTGCTGGTGAGCACCAGCTCATTTCAGCCCAGCGGACAGTTGAGAGTGTTTACGTGTTCGCCAAGCCCTGGCTCAGGGTTTTCCTCTTGGCATGCAGTTGGACTGCATTTCCCAGCGTCTCTTGCAGCCAGGAGTGGCCACATGACTGAGCCCTGGCCAATGGACTGGGAGCGGCTATGGTGGGCCCCGCCCCCGGCCTTTTAGCCTGGTCCATAAACATCCTTCCAAGCTGGCCTCCAGTTCGCTCTCCCCTCCACCAGGGTATTGCAGAGGTAGAGAAGGCCCTGGAGAAGGACAGGGCCACAAAGCAAGGGCCCCAGAGTTGAGCAGGACCCGTCTCTCCTCCCCCCAGCCCACCGCAGACTGCAACGGGGATAGAAACTTATTTGGGGGCTGTTTGTCACATCGCTGTGACTCACCTGGCCCAGCGTCTGTATCGGATCCATCCAGGGAAGGAGCTTCTGTTTACAGGACCCCACCTCAGGGCCCCCTGGAGCTCGCAGGCTGCTCCACTACCTTTGGGCCGGAAGTCCTGAGCCGGGGCCTGGGCCCACCCAAACGCAAGGCGTCTTCTCCAGGGCCCTGATTTATGGCAGGTCTGGGCCTCCCCTCGCCCCCAGGCCCCACGGCTTCCCTGTGCTCCTGGCCTTCTTCCATTCTTTGGCCTCCCCTTTATTTGGCCATTGTCTGGGGGTCCCAGAGTTCAGGGGTCAGCTGCATTTTTTTTCCCTCCCCGACAAATAGCTCCCTGAGGGCAGCAGGGCTGGCTCAATGCGGAGGCTCCCCTGCCAGCAGACCAATGTCCACAGCGGCTGCAGAACTGCGCAGGCCCTGCGGCGAGGAAGGCCCTGACCTGGTGGTGCCCCAAGTCCCGCTTTCTTGGGACACCCGGATCCCAGCGGGATGGGGCAGCCTCCTGGCTGTTTCCCCACAGGAGCACCAGCAAGGCTCCAGGAAGGTGGAGGCCAGGGCCAGGGCTGGGCTCCTCCCTCCCTCTGGCCTCATTTCCCAGCCTCCTGTGCTGCCTTTGGTGGAGGCTGAGGCGGCAGTCTCCCTGTGGAACCCCTGTCCCTCAGAGGGAGCCCGGCCTCCCACCATGAAATAATTAAACTGTTTCTAAGCTACCAGTTACCAGCCCCTTAGCCTTTGGTTATCTTCCCAACAATAATATGAAGAACCCGACTACGGCTGCGGCCTACAGGGCCCACGCTCGGCCTTCCCGACCTAGACTTCACCGGTCCCTCAGCCCGTCCTGGGCATGGCGGCCGACGTTACCCCATGCTACAGATGAGGAAGCTGAGGTTCAAGAGCCTCCTCCACAGGCTCCAGGAGCACACGGAAGGAGTGGTGCCATGAGCCAGGAAGCAAGGGACACGGGGGCAGCCCGGGCTCCTGCTGCCATCCCGGGACAGAGAGCTGCTGGAGGGCCAGGAAGGTGAGGTCCCGCCGCCTCCTGCAGCCAGGATCCTGGGGCTCCCTCTCCCGCTCCCGCAGGCTCCCTGCCCTCTGCAGCCCCCCGCCTCCGGCTGGGCCCCCTCCCTCCCAGCTCCCAGCATCAAAAGCTGCTGCGGACTCTGCTGGGTTTCTCCTGAGCATAGCCAGCGAGCTCGGCTGCTCAGAGGTTGTGTGCTCACTTTGCAAAACAGCAGAAATTTATAGCCCAAGTAATTGATCACGGTGCTTCTGCCTCCCTCCATCTCGCTGGGTCTCCTAATTCCCTTCTCCCTTCGCTTTTTTCTCAGCGCGCCATCTGTAGTGTCAGAGAAAAGGAAGCCAAAAAGGGAGGGAGGGTTCTAGTCCCAGTTCTGCCAATTATGAGTCACATGAACCTCAGTTTCCCCAGAGGAGCTAATAATACCTGCTCACAGAGCACTCCACCTGCTGCCGGGGCGGGATGCCTCCACACAGCTGACCACTCTCTGCAGCCTTCCTATGAGGTGGGCGGTGGGACCGGGACCCACTTCTCTGGGCACTGGGGCCCACAGAGCTTGACTCATTCACCCAGAGTCACAGCTGGTAAACAGCAAAACCCAGGCCTGGGACCCCAAGTCCAGACCATTAGGTACACTGCCCCCACCGATTCCAGGACCAATAAGAAAAGAGGTGACACTTGCCCTGTCCGGACTGGCTGCCCTCAATTTCACTTCATCCTGGGTTGGCTGTGGGGATGCCACCGAGGTCACGGGGACAAGGGGAAGACTTTGCAAACCCCAGCATGCTGGGAAGGTAGAAGGAAAGGTCCCCACCATTTCTGTCACTGCTTAGTGCTGTCCCCTTCTTGCCATTAGCTGTGTGGACAGGGGTCTTCCATCAGTCAGGCCCCCACACCTGCCAGCTCCCTGGAAGGCCCATAGAACCTTCCAGAATGACCCACAAAAGGATTCCCAAAAGCACCAGATGCACCAGCCCGGTACCTGGTGGAGCCCTGCGGTCCTGGCTGGAACTCTCTAGGGAGCCCCCTCAGTGTTTTGCTGGTGACAATCCCAACCCTTCTGTTCAGTTCTGGGAGGAGGGTTCACAGGGGGCCACGGCTTGCCCGCTCCCTCTCCTCTCGGCCTAGCTCTGTCTCTGCCCCTGCACGGGCGCCCCTCCCTCTCGTGGCCTCCAGCCGCAGGTAGGACTTGCTTCGCGGGCCGAGGCCAAGGAGAGCTCCTCTCGGCTCGCTGTGCATCCAGGGGCTCAGTGTGCCGCGGCCCAGCCTCTCCCTTCCCCACCCCAACCCAGGGGCTGCGCCCGGAGGCTGGCCGCCGCTGGGGGCCGTGGGCACGTTCTGTCCCCCTTTTCGGGCGGGGACCCGGGCTCCAGCCCCGCGGCCGCCTGCTCGCGCCTGCCTGGCGGAGATGAGAGCCGGCGCAGGGCTCGAGCGAGGCGGCCGCACGCAGAACAAACAGAATTTTTTTTTGCAACTAGAGGGGGAAGCACAGAGCTAAAAATAAAACGAAAAGATCAGTATCTGTCAGCCCGACAGCTGATTGGCTGCTCGGAGATGCATATAATTACCAGCTCCCGGCGCCGGGGAGGCAAAGCCGGGAGAAACTGCTGAGACGAGGTTAGGATTTAACCTTTAAATTCTGGAGCCACCGAAAGCGAGGGGAGGACGACGGGCGTCGGTGCTAATGAGGCTGGGGGCGGGCGGGGGCGGGGGGCGCCGGGTCGGGGTCAGGTCCCGACTCCCGGGGGCCTGGGCCGCCGCCTCCGCCGTGGGACTGGGCAGCCTCCGATTGGGCGGCCCGGAGGCGGGGGCCTTCTCCCCGCCCCTGGAGGTGGTGCCTGCCGGGAAGCCGGGGTCTCACCTGGGCGGGAGCGAGGGGCTGCGGGCCGGGCCGGCGCACCATGAGGCCCACTCTGCCCCCACCCACATTCCTCCACCTGTCCCTGCCTGGTGTCAGTTTCTGCCTCCCGTGGGGGGGGGGGGCTCCTTCCTGCACCCCGAGTCACCCGTCCCTGGCTGTGTCCTGCCCCACCCGGGGAGTGGGGGCACTTCTGCACCTCTGGGTTATCCTGGGTCCCAGGGAATAGACCAGAACCGTGGGGCTGGAGGATGCTGTGCCCTCCCTGAACCCCAGTGACTTCACTTGTAAAATGGGGTGGCCATGGCAGGCCCTCCTGACCCTCCGCAGGCGCCGGGCGTGCTTTGGGCCTGTGGGGCCTTGATCCTCCTGCCCAGCCAGGAGCCAGGGCTCTGGGCTCTAGAAGAGCAGAGAGTTGCTGCCTCTGCTTTGGCACTGCCCTCCCCCAGGGGTCAGTGGGGACCCAGTGAGCTGGTGTCTGGGTTGCAGCCTAGTAAGTGGCACCTGCTGGGAAGGTGAAGGGAAGGTCTTGGGGCTCCTGGAATACCCCCTTTCTCCTGGCTAGGCCTTTGTCCAGCTGGGCCCAGCCTTGACTCTCCTGTGCCTTGGTGCTCTAACTTCCCTCCCATGTCTGGACCTCCGGAAGCGCTCCCTGGGTTTCTGACCCTCCTAGGCCCTGATTCTTGGCCCTGCCCACAGGACTTCGAGCCCCAGGAGGTCAGGAGCCATGTGTGTCCAGTGCCTGGCCCATGGTGCTTGGCAAGTGTGACATCAGAGCCTCTGCTCTGGGGCCTGGGAGCCAGCAGAGGCAAGAACCACGGTGGCCCCATTGCCCAGGCTTGAGGCAGACAGTGGCCTCAGTTGGCGGAGAGCCAGCTCTTGCCAGCACATCCCAGGCCCCAGATGCCACAGAAGGCCTGGCTTGCCCGGTGTCCTCTTAGGCAGGAAGGCGGTCCCAGCCCCTGTTGCCCATTTCTAGGAAGTTTCGGGGTGCGACTGCCCAGTCTTGGCCTCTCCCTGCTGGATGGGACAGTGGGTAGGGCTGCCACGGAGTGCTGGGACCTAGCCAGCCAGGCTGACCTGCAGGGGAACTGCCCTGAGCTCCTACTGGGGTCAGAAGCAAAAAGCAGGTGGGGAGGGGGGAGGAGGCAAAGACTCCTGGTCCACCCTAGCCTGGCCGTGTGTCTGTCCACCTTGAGCACTTGTCAGGGATCCCTTGAAGCCCCTCAACAACCCCTAGAAGGTGGGGCTGTGGTTACCTGCACTTTCAGATGAGGAAACTGAGGCACAGAGTTAAGCCAAGTGCCTGGGGCCCGAGGCCAGTGAGGACCGAGCCTGGATCCCCCCAGTCCATCCAGAGGACAGGCCCAGCAGCCCTGCCTGTCGGGTACAGATAAAGTGAGGCAGAGGGAGGAGGATGTTCGGGGACCTCCCTGTGACCTGGGCTCAGCATCTTGGGAATGTTTTAGTGTGTGGCGTGCAGGGGGTCCCCTCTGGCGCCTCTTTGAGGGGTCTCAGGAAGATTTAAACCTGCTTCTCTATGGTTCTGGACGTCAGGTTGGTGTTGGATGTGACTGGGATAAACTGGTTCCCAGGCAGCCAGGTTTCCTTGGGGTCATGGTGATAGAGATGGTAACAGAAGCAGCTCCCACAGGCTGAGCGCTCACCCAGTGCCTGGTGATGGACTCGGCCTCGGCTTGGACACTCATCTGGAGCCTCACCATCGCCCAGAGAGCACTCTGGGGCCTCTGCTGTTTCCTTATACCCTGTGTCTGAATCTGTTTGTCTCCACACTCATTGTCACCTCCTGTTAGGCATGAACCTGGAGAGAGTCCCAGTCTGGCCTCTCCCATTCATTGCTGAGTTCCCAGCACCCAGAGTCAGTCTGGTGTAGAGAAGCTGCATGATGCAGTTTTGTTAGATGCATTTCAGATGAAGAGACTAAGGGTCAGGGAGGACACATGGCTTGCTAAGAGGAAGCCCTGGATTTGTTTAGCTCAAGGAGCCAAATTTCTGACTAACCCCCTCACGTGGCCACTTGGGAGATCCCTCCCGTCCCCTGAGAGGTGCCTGCTGTCTTCTCAAGCCTCCCACTAAAACCAGTGAGGCAGACTGGATCTGCCCCCGGCCTCTTCCCTGTTTTCCTGGGTACTGAATGGCAGTTGGCCAGAGTCAGCTCGGTCTTGGGGACGTTCTCTCCTCCAGACTCACCCAGTTTGCCTTTTTTCGTGTGTGTGACCTGATTCAGATTTCCCATCTTTGTACCTTGGGTCCCCTCCTGCACCTGACCTTGCTGCATGATTTCCTGACCCAGGCAGATCATGCCTGAGGTTGGTCACTGTTGCTTTTCTCTCTCGTGGTTCTGGGGTGGCATCCAGGGTCTCGGTGAGGCCAGAGGTTATAAATCAGAGCCCTGATGGTTATGCTTAAGAGTCGGCTCTACCACTGAGTGACGCTGGAGGCCTCGTTGAACCTCTCTGAGCCTTGGCCGTCCTTTGTGAAATGGAGACAGGTTGCCGTTGAGTTGGTGTGTGGAGGCCGTCTCCCTCCGCCTGGCCGGAAGAGCGGTGCCGTCCCTTGTGCTTTGCCCAGTGACAGATGCATGTTCAGAGTAACATGTTCCTAGGCTATCTTACCTTTGTGAAAATATCGAGTTCACTTATGCAAACTTAAATGGCCTCTAGGCAATAGAATTTTTTTTTTTTTTTGGTACTGGGGATTGAACTCAGGGGCAATTTACCACTGAGCCACATCCCAGCACCACTCCCCCCCTTTTAAATTTTGAGACAGGGGTCTCGCTAAGTTGCTAAATTGCTGAGGCTGGCCTCAAATTAGTGATCCTCCTGCCTCAGCCTCCCGAGTTGCTGGGATTCCAGGTGTGGCCACTGCACCTGGCCAGGCAATATAATCTCATGGGCCCATGTCTTTCAGGTGGTCCATCGTTGACTGAAACACCGTTATGTGGCACATGGCTATCCCACTGTGCCCTGCCACAGGGGTATCCTGAACATGGACTTCAGAGTCTGCAATTTTTAATCTGTCTTACATGAATGTCCCATGTGTTTTGGTCAATGTCTCTGCAGATGAAAAGCCCCTAACAGGCTCTCTCGAAAGACCACGACCCTCTGTGGGCAGCTGACATCTGAATGGCTGGCCTGGCTGCCAGGTCCTGGGCTCGGCAGGAAGGCAGGACCCCTGGAGGTCACCCCCTCTTCACCTGGCCCTTTGGCAATCGGTTTTCAAATATCCTGAGTTCCTGGTCCAGGCCGTGCTGGCCCCGCCGTGCTGGCCCACTGAGGGGAGTTGGGCCGGTGTTGGTCCTGTCTTGCGCAGATGTCAAGTTTCCTTTTTAGGAAACAAACAAACAAACAAACATGTTTTCCATTACCAATGTCCCCCCATCCTCTTACTTTAAGAGTTGTTGGTTGTAAAAGAAATCCTGGTGAACACAGGAGCGCATGAGCACCTGCCGGCCCATGTTGTGCTCGGCTATCTCGGAAAGCCCCAGGCCCCAATGCCCCACTGTGGGCAGGTCTGTGATCTGGTGGTGCCCACCTTGCCCCCAGGGCATCCCCCAGGCCTCCTCGAGGCGCTGCTGGCCGGTGATCATTTCCTGTGCGAGAAGATGAACCGCTGAAGGTCCCGCAGGAAGGAGGGCCCTCTGTCACCCTGGGCTGGGCTGTGCTGGCCGCAGGCCCTGGCACAACCCGAGGAGCCACACGGCAGGCGGAGGCACGCGTCTCCTGGGGGAGGCGGAGTCTTCAAGGGAGCAGCGAAAACGGGGCAGAGCATGGGCCGTCACGCTGCAGGCCTCCGGGAGAGCCCAGGCCTCGCCTGATGGAGCGCCCTGGCCGCGTGGACACGAGAGCGGGGTCCTTCACTGTGAGCTCGGTGAGCCGGGTCGTCCCTCAGGGCAGGCTGTCTCAGGGTGCCCTGGAAATCCCGCGGCTGCCCTGGGTGGTCCCGCACCTCCCTGGCAGGGCTCTGGATCCGCCCTCCTGATACCCAGGCCCCAAGATACACCAGTCCCCAAATATGTGCCCAGAGGTGACCACGGCGAGCGGCAGTGTCCAGGGACTGCAAACTGCAGAGCCCTGTGCCCGCTGCTCTGGGCGCCCTCACCCCGGCCCCGGGCTCTCCGAGGTGGTGAGGTAGAGCCGGTGGGGGGGGGGCTGCGCCCCTTGGACGAGCCTGGCCGGATGGAGGGAGGCGCCCAGGGCTCCTGCAGCTTCCTGGCCGCAGGCCCCTCCTCTCCTGCAGGTTTCAGCAAGAGTGAGTGTGTCTGCGGCTGGCGTCGCAGACTTCCCCGCAAACCTGCCCACAGGAGCCCACATGCCGTCCCCAGGGACAGCCTGCGTGGAGGACGTGGGCGAGGATGTTTGCACCGGGCCCTTCCCACCCGCGGCCTGTGACCACCAGCCCTGTCCTCTGCGCTGCCCGCTGGCCCCCGGCGGGGGTGGGGAAGTCCTTACTATTTTTTTTTCTTTTTTCAGGGCTGGGGCTGGAACCCAGGGCCTGGCTGTGTTAGGCAAGGGCTGCGGGTGGGCCACATCCCAGCCTGTTTCTAGAGAAAGATAAGAAAGTAGAGGACCCCTCCGGCCAGTCTAAGGGAGCAGGGCCCCTCTACGGGGCAGATTGCTGAGGGCGTCCTCTCCTGGTTCCACCGCCCGGCTGCCGCCTGTTTGCTGAGCAGTGAGCTGCTGGGGTCATCCAGGGCCACTCAGCTCCCAGCTCCTGAGAGTGAACGGCCGGCCAGGCTGACATCCCTGCTCAAGACACCGTACCCCGTGTTGCCTGGGGCAGCCTGGCCTGCGTAAAGGTGCAGTGACCCCCGGGGACTTTGAGGGGCTGTACATATGTAGAGAGCCTTGGAGGGCCCCAGGATACCCAGGCTGAGAAGCACTGGCAAAGCCGGTTGTTGGGGGGCAGCTCTTTGACACCCCTTGGCCATTCTCACCTTCTGTCAGGGAAGTCCTCGCAAAGCTGGGTGCCCAGGGTCTTTCTGAGTGTCATTCACCCTGTGTGACCCTGGGGAGTTGGCTTCTGCTCTCTGACACCGGGTGCCACTGCACCTAGCTGGGCACTTGCAGCCTGGGCGTCTTGGCTGGTGCCACCCCAACCTCAGCGCCCAGCTCCCCCGCATCGGCCATGACCATCACACTGGATCTGGGTGATGAGAGGGAGGCCAGCAACCAAGACGGCTCTCAGGAGCTGCAGCTGGGGCCCCTCTGAGAAGCTGTCTGAGGGGGACAGGGAGCCTGGGAGGGGGACAGGGAGCCTGGGAGGGGGACCGGAAGGCACGCAGCCAGTGATGAGCAGCGGCTGAGGCTGCATTGAGAAAGCGGTTCCAGGGCACCCAGCTCCGTCTGCCCTGAGCCACCTCTGGATGCTGCTCATAGGGATTCTGCTGCGGTGGACCTGGGGGTGCTCCTGGTGATACAGGTGCTGGGCCGGGGCCGGGTGGGGACACTGGGCAGCAGTGTTATCATGGGTTCCCTCCCATCCCTGTGCCCACTGGGCTCTGGTCAGAGGGAGGTGGGCTGGTCACTGGTGTCTGGAAGAAATGATGGTTCTAGAAAAGCTAGAGAGCCCGCAGGTCCTTGCCAAGAAAGCCAACGCAACACGAGGGTAAAAATCATGTTTTTAACACAAGAAAGAGACCTCTGCCTTCCAGCAGGCGGGGCGCCTGCTCCCACCCACGCAGCCCAGGGGCCTGAGGAATGTGGCCTCAGCCCGCCTTCCACCCCGAAGGCCGGGGATTCGCTCTTAAAAAGTTCCCTACAAAATGAGTTTTCTCCATCCGCCTATTTCCAGGCTGTTTTAAGATCGTCGTAGTCACATCCCTCTGAGAAACACCCACCTCTGGGCCCTGGAGCTCAGCTGGCAGCAAACACCAGGGACAGAGAAGACCCCTGGGGGTGCTCAGCGGCCCCCGGGTCACCTGGCTGCTGAGCTCCTGAGAGCTAGGGCTTCCAAGATTGGGGATTCCGACTTGAACCCCCAAATGGACAGAGGTCCATGGCCAGTTGCCGGTGCAGAGCCCTGACCACGACCATTGGGTGAAGTGGGGGGACAGAGGTGGCCCAGGGCCAACCAGACCCTTTGCCTTAGCTGGAAAAGGAGCTGACAGAGGTCCCATCCTGGCAGACCAACCCTCTTGTCCTTTATCAGATGCCACCAGTCATACTCAAGTGCTCTAGGAACCAACCTCTGTGACACTTTGGGTATGTGTCCCAAAGAGGTCTCTGAGGCTCTGATACCGAGTTCCATGGCCAAAGACTCCTGAGAAATGGAGAGTCCACACAGCAGCCTCCTTGCTGGGCAGGCTCTGCCTTGATAGGTCCTCGGCCTGGGATCGCCAGCAGGAGGTGAGTCCCCGTCTGCCTGAGCTGACAGCGGCTTTCCAGAGCCTAGCCTGGGGTCTGTATGCCAGGGAACACACTCTGGGAACCCAGTCAATGGAAGGCCTTCACAACTAAAAAGTCTTTCTGTTTCTGTATTAGTCACCTCCTGCTGCGTAACAAATCACCCCAAACTTAGCAGTTTAAAACAATAAGCATTTATTATCTCAGTTTCTGCGGGTCAGGAATTCAGACGTGGTCCAACGGGCTAGTCCTACTGTGGTCTTTCCTGAGGTTGCAGTGAAGCTGTCAGCTGCTGCTGGAGTCGTCTGAAGGCTTCTTCATGACTCACTCACATGGCTGGTATGAAGGTCTCATCCCTTGCAACTTGGATTTCTCCATGTGGCTGCTCAAGTTTCCTCCCAAGAAGTTTCCTCCCCAGAGTGAGTGATGCAAGACAGCAAGACTGAAGCCCCAAGGCCTTTTATGACCCAGCCCTGGATGGCAATATGCATATGGTAATTTCCTCGAATCCTATTGGTCACACAGTCCAGCCCTGATCATTGTGGGAGGAGACTAGGCTGGCTGTGAATGTCAGGAGATTCCCATCTCCCTTCAGAGACCATCTTGGAAGCTGGCCACCATGGTAACCATCGCTTCGTCCCCACAGTTGGCTTGCTGCCATTCAGTGGACACAAGTGACCTGAGCGGAGCTGTTAACCTGTGGTGGGAAGAGAAGAGGAAGAGGCCAGGAATCCCCGGGCCTCATCCAGCTCAAGTAACAAGAGCTGGGGTAGCACAGCCCCGCTGTCGGGGCCTCAGTCTTGACCAGGTCAGGGCATCGTGCCCTGCGTGCCCCGAGCTCTCAAGCAGCCTGCTCCACCTTTATCTCTAGGTCAGCTCACTCGTTTCTACGAAGTGCATGAGGTGTGTAATATTTGGGTCATGCAGCTCCATCCACGAAGGCAGCTCTCTTCTGGAAGTTCTGAGACACGGTTGGTGACGGTGAGCCTTGTGGGGGCGATGAGCGCAGAGTGAACTCAGGATGGACAGATGCCAGCGATGAGCAAATAATAAATAGATGAAATACTCATCTCATCTCTAGGAGGGGGTTAAGTACATTAGCAAGGCGAGGAGTCGGCGAGCCAGGGGACCCTGGGGTGGCCGGAGCCTCACTGCTGCTGTGAAAACGGCCACATCTCTAGCTTGGGACAGAGAGGGCTCCCTGGCCGGGAGGCTGAGTGGTACTGAGCAAGCGCCTGGCACCCAAACGTGTGTGTCCCAGGCTGACCCTTGGTCATTGGCTGTGCTGCCCAGGCAGGTGACTCCACAGCCCTGTGTCCCTGCTGCAGAGTTGGGCAATGTGAAATGAGGATTCAGAGGGATCACCCCCATAGGGGCTCCAGAATGTGGGTCACCAGCTGCTGGCACCCCAAGTGTGAGGGAGCCTTATAAAAGGAGTCTTATTGCCTGAAGGGTACAATGACAGAGTAGATCCCCACTCTCAGGACAGACCTTCCGTGCTGCCTGGGCCTCCTGCAGTGGTGACCCCAGAGCCTGGAAGGAGCGCAGCCCCTCCTCGGCTGGGAGCATGTAGAAGCACGGAGCCTGCCCAGCCCCTTCCTGTCCTGTTGGGGCACGATTTTCAAGACAGGGAGCATCCTGGGTGTGTTTTGGCCTTGGGAGTCTCAACACGCTCCACAGGACTTAGGGCAACTCTGAGTTTGCTGTCCCAACAAAGGGACCAGGCACGGAGACAACACTCAGAGGACAGGGTGCAGGAGCCAGGGCCTGATCCTGCAGCCGGGCGGGGCCTGGGCATCAGCATGGAGGCCCTGAGGCTCCACCCCTCAGAGCTGTGTGACTGTGGGCAAATTCCTCAGCCTCCCTGGGCCTGAGTTTCCTCACACATCAACTTCCAAGTTGGGCTTGAGAACTGCTCCTCAGTCTGTTCTGGGGACTCGGAGCTGGCCATCAGACAGTCCCGTTTCATCTCCTTGGCTTGTTGGTATCCATTAATAAAGAGGCAGAGGAGGAGGAAGAGGAATCATTCCTACAGCAAAAACAACACAATCCAGACGTTCCCCAGTAACTTGTCTTTACCCCCTTCTCCAAGCTTTAAGGGGAAGAGTGGAGGGGGCTAGGGATGTGTCGGCCCTGGGGCTCAATCCCCAGCACTGGAGAGAGACGGGAGGGAGATTTGCAATTTCCAAATGGTTCTTGGTTCCCTGGACTTGAAGCTCTCTTCCTCTTGGCCTCTGCCCCTTGAGGAGACAGGAGCCTCATGAGCGGTGGGAAGGAGGGGGCTTCAAGTCCCCGCTGTGTGGCATGGAGGCCCCGGCAGGCGGCTCTCTCTAGAAGATGTGCTGTGGGCATCTTGGCTACACGCTCCCAGCTGCCACACCCAGGTCACATGTGGTGGGCAGCCTGGCCAGCCACACCGGCCTCCACAGTGGGATCCTGGGCCAGCTGCCCCTGGGCCTCAGGGTCCTCATCCGTAAAGTGAGGACACTGTGGGCCTAGGTGACCTCAGCTCTTCCCAACGTCGTGGACACTGTCCCCGGGGCTCCAGCTGTATGCAGGGGTGGTGTCGGGGCGGGGGCCTTGCTGACCCTCGTCGGCTGCCTCACGCTGGCCTGGCAGGGCCGGGCTCAGAGTGGCCTCAGGCTGCAGGAGAGCCCAGTGCCAGGCCCAGCTGCCAGGCTGCCATTTGAAACGTGTCCTGTTGGTGGCACTTTGGCGTGGCTCCGGTGTTCCGGTCTTGGATCATATTTGATCTGACCGTGAACGTGAGTTCTGTCTCTCTTCCTATTTGGTTCTCTTTTGCTTGAGGAACTCTCGGTGCTAAACTTGTCCTTGTCCTTCCCCACATGAACCCTTCTGCGGCTCTCACTGCCCTCAGAGGAGGTCCCCAGCTGGGAGTGGCCCCCAGGCCTTTCTGGGGCCTGGCACAGCCTGGTCCCCACCTGGGGCCTCCCTCTCCCCAGACAAAACAAGCTGACCTTTGTCTTCCTCAGGAGGGTCCCTGAGTGTCACTTCCTCCTGGAAGCCCCCCCCCCCAGTCTACCCCCTGACCTCAGTTCAGGCCCGCCCTCCTGGTCACTTCCTGGTCACTTCCTGGTGGGGATCCTCCTGTGCCCATCCCCACCCTGGAGACAGGATGCCTCAGGCACAGGGCAGGGTGGGGGGGCCTGGAAGTGTCTCCGAATGAGTCCAAGACTCAGACCAAAAACACCCTGTTGACTCTGGGACGGGGTTGCCACCAGGTCACTGGAGCCCGGGAAGGACCGGTGGCCGACACCACCTGCTTCCTCGGGCCTGCTGCTCGGGCAGTGAAGGGGTTAAGTGTTTCTGCGGCAGCTCCCTCTTCCGGGCCGCAGCAGCCCGGGCTGGCGAGGAATGTTTGCCATGCAGCGCTGGAGGGAGGGAGGGAGGAGCCGGCGGGGTGGGACCCGCAGGCCCCGGGCCAGGCTCCCCCATTGAGCAATAGGCCACCAGTTCCTGTAACGCCAACCCTCCCTCTTCCCGCCCTGCCGGCTTCCTCCTCCCCTAGTCACGGTGGGAGGTGGAGGGACAGAGGCCCCAGAGCCTGGAGGTCAGAGGTGAAGGAGAGGGACTCCCAGAGTCAGGGAAGGGGTTCAGGAAGCTCAGCCACCCGGCCCAGAGACGGCTGGGCCTTGCCCAAGGTCACACAGTAAGATGCCCGTGAGCTGGGCCCGAGCTGTAGGTTTGGCTTTTTTGTTCCCATAGCACCAGACTGCAACTCAGACACACCGCGGAGGTCACATAGCCACCAGCTGGGGAGCTCAGAACCACAGGAGACCTTCTCCCAACCCAAGGCAGAGACTGGGCCTGGCCTCTTCTCCCAAACCCCAGGATCCCGAGAGCCCAGAGGTTCCCACTGGGTGGGGAGAGCCCCCCAGCACTGCCACTGCCCAGCCAGCCTTGGGGACACTGGTCACCCCTGTCCCTTGCCTTCCGGGGTGTGAAGTACAGGCACCAGGGCCAAGCTTGAGCTGGTCCTCCAAAGCCCCTGGGTTCTCTCCCTCCTCCCTCCCTCTGTCCTTCCAGCCAGGACCTTCCTGGGTAAGGTGCCCCGGGGCCCTGGGGGGAGCTGTTTCTCTCCCCACCCGGCTCCACCCTCCCAGCTCTCCGGGCCTCAGTCTCTTCCTGTGGGGGGACTTCACGAGGTGGGTGGGTGGGCTCGGCCACCTTCAGGCTTTGCTGAGGCTCTGAGCCACCTGGTCCCACAGGTGCCCCGTCGGTGGGGACCTGCTCGGGGTCTCCCATGCTGGCCTGGCCTGGGCCTCAGCACCCAGGGAGGGTCTGCTGTTGGGAGGCCACAGGTAGCTGAGCCAGAGGGAGCTTCTGGGACCCCAGGGCAGTAGGCACTCATGGGCTGGTTGGGCCATCCCTGGGTGCTCAGAGTCACACTACCTGTGGGACAGAGAGAATCAGGTAAGTGGGAAAACCGTGCTCACAATACCCGGCTCCACCTACCTTCCACTCTGCCCCCATTTATTGAGCACTTACTGCATACCAGCAAAGAACTAAGTGCTTTCAAGACAGATCTACCTTAATCCAACAGCCACCCCTCAGGAATGGGGACCCAGATGCTGCGGCTGGGAAGGGCCCCCAAGGACAGATGGACAGAGGGCGATGCCTCCCCCTCCCAGGACCTGCGGGCTGTGTGGCATCCCACCTCCTCCCGAGCATGTTTCCTTTAAGAAACCAGAAGATTGATTTCCTGGCAGGCTGTGCCGAGGAGCCCGTCCAAATGGTTTGCATGTCTGCATTTTTTACTGCTCCGTTTAATATGTATGCAAATGCCGGCCGGCTGCGCCCGCCGCTGCAGTCACACGCGGCGCCCCATTAAAGCGGCCGTCCTGGGCGCGCGCCTCATTCGAGGCGACGGGCTCGGCGGCCCTGATAGATGGGGTGCGGGGACGGAGACAAATGACGGGCTTTGCAATTTCTTTCTCTCTTTTTCTTGGGGGGGGGAGCAGGGGGGTTGGAGCCTGGGAGCCACAGAGGAGATTTAAATATATGCAAATTTGTTTGTGGGTTTGGGGGGCGGGGTGTAGAGACCTGAGCCAGAGCGGACAGACGGGTTTCCTGGTGGCAGTGGCTGGGGGAGCCAGAGAGGCGCGGAGAGCAGGCTCGGCCCAGGGAAGGAAGGACTCGCTGCTTTCAGACCCCCCTCCCCACCCACCCGCTGGGGACCCTATAGGTACGATGTCATCCTCCGTCTCACCCTAACCGGAGGTGGCCAGCGTCACACCCACTGTGCAGATGGCGAAGCTGAGCTGGGGACAGAAGCTCCTTGGGAAGGGTCACAGATGAGCCTCTGTGAAGCTGGGACTCCCTGGCGGCCCACCTGTGACCCCCAGGGTCCTCGGCCACCTCTCCTGCGCTGGGAGCTTTAAAGGAGTCTGTCCTGTTTCTCAGGGTGTCGTGAGGGCAGAGGGCGCACAGAGAAGGCTGCAGCCTGGGGAGAGGCCCGGGCCCACAGCACCCAAGACCCAGAGTCACCCATCTGCAGGTGTGCAGTGTGTGTCCCCAGACTGTGGCGAGTGTGCCCGTGAACCTCTGCTGAGCGTGTGCCAGGGTGTGCACAGGATCGTGGGAGTGTGTGAGCTCCGCTGTGGGTCCCTGTGTCTGGTGAGCACGGGGCTATGTGTACCTGCCTGTCAGTGTGGACACGCGGGTCAGTGCACATGTGCCTGTCAAGGTGACAGCAGCCCAGAGCGCGTGTCCTGGGGCTGGAGACAGCGGGAGCCCCAAGCCCCAAGGACTGCCCGGGTTGGGGCTCGGGCCTCCCTCCTCCCTTCTCCCCTCCCCAAGGGCCTCTGCCCCTCAGCGGCGGAGTGGGGTGACACCCAGCAAGCAGCAGGAGTAGGGAGGGGAGGACCCCGGAGGCTCAGGCACTGGGAGTCAGGGCGCAGCCCCACCTGAGGGGAGCCGAGGAGCTCTGGATGGGCGCCAGGGGCCACCCTCCCCACCCCCCCACCCCAGAAGCTCTCTGTGAGGGTGACATCTCTCCGGCATTCACAGGTTCTTCACTTAAAGTGCCCTCCCCTGGATGGGGGAAGTGGCCTTCCTCAGGGTGGGAGGAGGGTGTCCACAGGGTGCAGTGACATCCCGTCCCTGTGGGAGGAGAGAGCCTGGGCTCTGGGATTGGCCCCCCTGGCCTCCCGGGCCCTGTCCCTGCACCTGTCTCTGTTGTCCAAAGGGAGGCAGCCGGCCCTGGTCCTGAGCCTGTCTGGAGGCGGGACGTGGTGTGTGTGTGTGTGCCGCAGTGCCCCAGCCAGGGGACACACACTTCTGGATTGCAGAGCACTGCGCTGGGGGGGCCTGGAGTCCCGGCAGCTGCCCCTGGCTTCTCAGGCCCCCAGGCCTGGCCCACCGGAGACCTGTCTCTCTGTCTGTCCTTGCCCTGTGGACCCCGTGGGCACTGCGGGTCCCTGGCTCCACCTGGAGATGCTGGCCTGCCCCACCCCCCGCCCACAGCAGCCAGGCCAGTCCTCACACTGGTCCTCCCGAGGCCTCGTCCCCCCTTGGCCTGCCCCATCCACGTCACCCTCCGGCCTGGGTCCTCGGGCCTCCCCTCCTCTCCCCACTCTTGTCTCCCCTCTCGGTGCCCATGGTGGCCGCGTCCCAGGAGCCACTCTCTGGCAGTGCCCTGGCTGTCCTCCCTGCTCACAGCCCCAGCCCCCAGGACCATCGTGACCCCCCGCCTGCTCCTCACCTTCACCACCGTCCCGCCTCCCACCCGCCTTGGGACCCACCTGTGTGTCCACGGCACCTGCCCCCAGGATCCTAAGCCCCAGGGAACCTGGGCTGCAGGGAGGGGGAATCCTGGTGTCCCCTGAACGTCCAGTCCAGGCTCAGCAGGATCCCTGGTCCTCCTGTGGACTGCGGTCCCTTCACCCTGCAAAGCCCAGCAAATTGAGACCCCAAGTCCCCTTAACTCACCTGCGCTTGGAGGTGGCCCGTCCCTCTGTGGGCCTTGAGGTCCCTGTCATATAACTAAGGCA